TTTCATGTTTTTCTTTAGCGTAGTTTGAGTTACCCAATCTCCTTCCTTGTGAAAATAGAGGATACAAAAATGTATAACTTTCATGACACCTAGAAAACGTTTTCCCAGAGCTGCCTATTCAGAAAATAAAGCCCTTACTGTCATTATTCTTTAAGAAGATGAAATTACTCTGGAGGTTTGGTATTTTTTTACATTAAAACAAACTAAAGCAAAATTTAGAAGAAAGAACTACACATATGTAAATACCATATTTTTGATAAAAATGTGTAAATAGATTTATCAATGATGAGTAGACGTGGTCAATAATCTACCGCACACCAACTGTTTATAAAACACACAAAAATAAAATGTAATAACTGTATTCTGTGAATACCATTTTCATATCAAATGCCATATTTAAATGTCCACCAATATGATTTCTAAGTGGTAAACCTCAAATATGAACTTTAAACTGGTGAACTAAAGGAAATCTTGAGGTCATATACTGAAATATGATTAACTAAAAATAATAAATTCAGACTTAATCATTTTTGTGACAAATTGCAGCACCAAACAAGCTAATAGCAACTCATGGCTGTGATTTGTTTGATAATTTGGACAGAATGAAAAGCATGCTTTTGGTTTTTTTTTAATCAATGAGAGAAGTCATCATTCTCATCACAAAGCCCTGAACAACAGCATTTGACAGTGTCCTTTAGATTTTAATTTTTTCAGTGGATTGCTTTAAAGAGAATGAGTAGGGAAAACAGTAGTTAATTTTAGGTTATGTTTTATATTAGGCTACTGGGGACATAAACAGTCATAATTAATGACTATAATCATTAAACTCCTTAAACAGTTTAGAAATTAGCTCCAGCTTCGTAAACTAACAAAAATAAAACCTAAGCATGCCACAGAGCTATTGATTAATCAGTAAGTACCTGTGATGAGTTTTCAGTGAAGCTTTCTCTCTGTGCTGATGAGATTCATGCTACCTAAAAATTAACAGAAATGACACTGTGAACAATGTAGTTGGGAAATAGGTATGTGTATATGCATTATTTATATTCATTGTTAAACTGGGAATGGGGAACAGCTCTGGTTCACAATACTACATACAACTGAGTTTTTGTCTGGTTTTACTATAGTGTCTGCTTGATGGCAAAAGGGGAGGGTGGCGGGTGGGAGAGGAAATGTCGGGGCAGGTGCTCTGATAAAACAAAGGCAGGGAAACAAGCTGAATTACTTGAAATTACTTGAATTTTCTTGTCTTAAAACTGAAAAAAAAATGTAGTTACAAGTTAAAATCTGCAAATGGTTTTTACACCTCTGATTTTAACATAAATTGGAAACTTATGTCAGAAATATAAGCAGCTATGTACTTACAGTAGGTTTTGAATGGGAGACATAGAATGCAGAGAGAATTAAGAAGGGATCTGACTTATAAAAGACTAGAATGTGATTAGAATGATAGAACATACCAAGGTTACCAAGAAATTGACAAGCTGCTGGCTTTAAGCTTATGCAAGTGGTAGTTGGGAAAGTAGGAGGTGTGGAAGGGGGTTTGCATTTCGGATTAATTCATGTAAAATGAAGGAGAAAGCCTGGTCTACGAAGATACTGTCTTTCAATAGAAATGCTTTCTAAACTGCTACAGATTAAGAATAGGGAATATGATTGCTGTTGGTTGTTTGTTTGGAAAGAAAAAATATTGTCTGGCTTCTTCTACTATTTGTTTTCACTACCAAACTGTGTTACTAAATTTCTTGTCATCCTTGTATGTAAAATGGGTGCTGGGGGTGGAGGGGTATAAGAGGAGGGAGAGTGTGTGTGTGTGTGTGTGTGTGTGTGTGAGTGTGTGTGTGCGCACACACAAAATGGGGATAGATAAGCTACCTGGTAAAGGGTTTGAACATTTACAAAGTGTTATACTTTTTCTTAAAAGAAAATGTTTTGGGGTTTGAATAAAATGGACCATCATTTCTCATTGGAACCCATTAGTTAAGAAACCAGCATGATTTGACACCACATGGGAACATGAATAAATCTGTCTCATAATTTGAAAAGTACACTTTGCAAAATTTTAAAAATAAAGTTTTTAGACAAATTCAATAAGAAACCGTCATTTCCAGTCACAATAGGGGATCTTTTGTAATTTTCATAAAAGCAGTTCGTTTGCAGTATGGCTTTTGGGGTTTTTTAAGTGTGAAGAAAGGTATGCGGGCTTTAAAAGTGATTCTAAATCTTGAATAGAAAACACATGAATTGGCTTTAATAAAAATGTCACCTTTTTATTATTGACCTTAATTTAAGTAATGGTATCATATATTTTTTAAAATACATATTGACTTGAATTGTGAGGCAATAAGATAACTTCTATATGTAATGATCACAGAACTAACCCTTAAAGTTTTACTTATTTTGCTTACTCTAAAAATCTATAGCAGAGTTTCTCTATTTTATATTTCATAGATTTAAAAAAAACCCAAATAAAGATGGATTTAAAATTCACTGTGGAAAAGAGTACTTAGTTACAAACTGAGAAGAAAAAGCAAGAAGTTCCTGAATAATCTGGAATATTCTACATGGCTTGATTACATAGCCAACAAGACCAAGATTTAGGGCTGTCTTTAACATCACTGCCATCTTGAAGCAGGGTACACACATTAGGTATTGTGAAGAACATCAATCTGAACTTCTGTTGTTTGCACTGATGCAATTTTTTTGTTCTTTTATGTTTATACAACATATCTATGTTGTGTAGGGGAATTTTTTTTTCCTTTTTAAAAAATTCTACTTTGATTTTTTTTGTTTTGTTTTTGGCTAAGTAGAGGACATGGACTAGTTGTAGCAAACAAAACATGCTGTTTGCTCTTGCCAAAGGTCAGTGAGTGCATTTGCTGCAGTGGCCGCACGTAGAGAACTAGATGGTAACAAAGATTTAAAACTAAAGAAGGTTACAGTGTAACTATTTTGGTACTAGAACCAGTTCATGCTGGCCGAAAAGACAATGGTTTATGGACTTGCATCCATTTTGTATTTTTGTAATATTTGTAAATACGGACTTTTTAAATCGTTGCAAAGATGGTTTCTTTTGTAAGATGTTTTCAACGTTTACATTCAATCCAAGCCTTTGTATATTTTAGAGCTGTGCAAACTTTAAGTCTTGTATTTATTTTTAGTAAAAACGGTGACAGTTTCATTGTGAACCCCTCTCAAAAAAATGTATCAGAAAAGTTTAATTACCTAGAAAGTGTGTATAGAAACTGCAAATAAACGTGACTGCAATTAAACAATGGGTTTCTCTCTTCACTGTTATGTAATTGATTTCTTGGGGCTGAACAACAGTGTTCTACAGGCAACAAGACATCAGGGCAGGATCTGTTATGGCAAAAGTAGGAACAAAAAGAATATAGACCAGCCTGGCCAACATGGTGAAACCCGTCTCTACTAAAAATACAAAAATTAGCCGGGTGTGGTGGCAGACGCCTGTAGTCCCAGCTACTCTGGAGGCTGAGGCAGGAGAATCGCTTGAACCCAGGAGGTGGAGGTTGCAGTGAGCCGAGATTGCACCACTGCACTCCAGCCTTGGAAACAAGATCGAAACTCTATCTCAAAAAAAAAAAAAAAAAAAAAAGAAAAGAAAAAAAAAGAAAACATATACTATATCTATAATGGGCTTTAATCTAGCTTCGTATTAGAGAGGAAAAATAATACATTTCCAACGTCCAGTATACTCTCTTTGTAGCTCTTCTCTGGGCCAAGGAAAGATGTACACAACTTTACTTTGAAATATCTACCTGCTTTGCTTCTGATAATTACTCAGACTGTGTCTCCTTTTCAAAATGAGAAGCCTCGATATACGTAAGACTATATGCTACTAGATAATGTCATGTAGCCTTTATTACAATAGCAAACTTCTATGCCAGGTACTGTTCTAAGTGCTTCACATACATTAACTCATGTAATCACCATATTTTACCCATTTTACAGATGGGGAAGCTGAAGCGTGAAGTGGTTGGTTTGCCTAAGGCCATAGAACGACTGTGTGGAGCTGGGGCTCCAACCCAGTAAATCTGGCTCCAAGGTCTGTGTTAGTTCCCCAGTCCAACCTGTGGGTGCTGGAGACTGGAAATATCTTGCTCCACGTTCCTACCAGATCTGGCTCAGAGCCACTGCTAAGGCCCCGCCCCTCATGCCAAGTCAATCACGGGCGTTGTCCAGGAAACCAGTTTACGTCAACGTCTCTGGTGCGTTACAGGGAGGGAGGGGGAGGGGGAGGGGGAGGGGGAGGGAGGGAGGGAGGGGGAGGGAGGGAGGGAGGGAGGGGGAGGGGGAGGGGGAGGGAGGGAGGGAGGGAGGGGGAGGGGGAGGGAGGGAGGGAGGGGGAGGGAGGGAGGGAGGGGGAGGGGGAGGGAGGGAGGGAGGGGGAGGGAGGGAGGGAGGGGGAGGGAGGGAGGGAGGGGGAGGGAGGGGGAGGGAGGGGGAGGGAGGGAGGGGGAGGGAGGGAGGGGGAGGGAGGGGGAGGGAGGGAGGGAGGGGAAGGGCGGGATCACATTTTAAAAAAAGCTTGTGATACCTCAACAACGAAGTGGGGATACCACGCCCCTAAGTGCCACAATGCCACTGTAAGGGGTGCGACTGCGCGCCAGCCTCCTATGCAGCTGTAGAAACCACTCGCAGCACGAGAGGCTTGCGACTCTGAAAGTTCCAATGGCCGTTTTCAACACTGCCGGCTTTGCGAAGGAAAACCTGAAGTAAGAGGCCCCGCCCCACAGCTGTCTCCGTAGCAATTTCCCGCCCTCACCCAAGGGCTGGGCGAGCTCCCGCAGATTGACCAATCAACGGTGAGGCCTGCAAGTAGCAAGAGTCCGATTGGTCAGCAGGTAGTCCCGCCAAGACGCCGATTGGTCAGCACGTAGTCCCTCCCCCCAACCGCGAGTGTGAAAACTCCGCACCGCGGGAGCATTCTGGTCCGCGCCGGAGTCAGGGAGTCACTGGTCACGGGCTCACGAGGTAAAACTACTGCGAGCAGTTTTACCGCGACCTCCGGAGGCCCTGGTGATAGGCTCTGTTACCAAAATAGGTCTGTCCAGTCGTACTTCTTACCTGGAGCTTTCCCGTCTCGGGAGTACACTATTTGGCTTAAGGGCCGGGGCTCTCCTGAGGAGAGAGGGTTTGCTTTGCGGGGAAGGAGCGAGTCTTGCACTTCGCAGCCTCTAAATTTCAGCCGCGGTGTGGAGGGGGTGCTTTGGGTGATCCCCACGGCGTCTCCGGAGTGTCCGCGCCCGTGAGCTGTCGAAATTTGACAATTTGTGAAGTGCTTGGTGCTGACTTTCGGGGAAGATAGGACCAATTTGCAGTCGTTCTCGTGTCGGGGAGGGAGGTGGGGGGCGAGGAAGGATCCAGACTTTGTTAACAGAGCTTCGAGTTTAAAGAATCGACAAACGCCCGAGTTGATTTCCTGTCAGACTTTTCGCGGTGGAGGCAGAGAGTTGGGGTTTTGATGATAACCGCATTTCATTAGAGACAGACGGTGCAGCTTCGCTGTTTTACTGTAAATACGTTAATGAGGAGGAAGAGAAAGACAAGACGTAGGGTGTTGGGGGCAGAGGCGGGAGTCGGGACAGCCCGCGAAATCGGGGTCCCTGTGGAGCGGGGGAGCCGTCGAGGCCCTCCCGGGCCCTCTTGCGCCGCGTGGTCTTTGACGGGGAAGTCTGTGATTTGGTTGGTGGCGGACCGCGTCCCTCCCTCCTCCGGCTCTCCCCGAGTGCGGCAGGCTGGCTTCAGGTTGACTAAAAGACAGCGATTTTCCGAGCAGCTTTGCAGCGCGGCGTTTTCTAAAGCGCGGTGTGGGCTAGGTGCCCTTTTGAGCCTCGCTTCTCCCGCCTGCAGCAAGTGCTGGGCGATGGGATACGGTTTTGGCGACAGTGGAAGGGCTGCCTTTGAGAGTCCCGCCGAAGATTGAGAAAGTGATTGTTCTGAAAACAAACAGAGCGGTCTGGCTGTTGTAATCGCCCTGTTTTGCTGTGTGTTCCTCAAAGTGGTCCCCGCGTGAGTGGTCTCTCATTGTAAGCTGTGCCTCATGTGATGAGTTGATGGCAAGGTGAAAGCCTTGCGCCTGGAAGCGAATATTTATGACTTTTGAAAATGTGTTTAAAAGGTCTTTAACGTCTAAAAGGCTCTTAGAAAACCAAATGGCTTCTTGTTCTTATGTTATCAAGAATTTAGATTTCTGTGGTAAATATGAGGTTCATTTTAAGTAAACTCATTTTTATGGGATTTGAGACTTAAACGTGAAATTAATTAATTTTGCACAATCAAGTCATGGCTGGGCTCTTTGAAAATGTTGTAAAGGTGAAATTATCTTGTGGGAAGAAGTGAGAAGGAACTAAAATGTGTGGTGTTATCAAGAGCTTAGATTTCTGTGGTAAATATAAATGAGTTCCTTTTAAGTAAACTCATTTTTGTGCAATTGGAGATTTGAAATTGAAATTAATTTTGCACAATCTAGTCATGGTCGGGCTCTGAGAAAATGTTGTAAAGCTGTGATTTATCTTGTGGGAAAAAGTGAAAAGGAACTTAAATTTATGGTGTTATCAAGAGTTGGCTGGGCGCAGTGGCTCACGCCTGTAATCCCAGCACTTTGGGAGGCTCAGGCGGGCAGATCACTTGAGGTCAGAAGTTCCAGACCAGCCTGGCCAACATGGTGAAACTGGTCTCTATTAAAAGTACAAAAATTAGCTGGGCGTGGTGGCACATGCCTGTTATGCTACTCGGAAGGCTGAGGGAGGAGAATTGCTTTAACCTGGGAGGCAGAGGTTGCAGTGAGCTGAGATCTTGCCACTGTACTCCAGCCTGGGTGATAGAGTAAGACTGTCTCAGAAAAAAGGGGAGGGGGAGTTTAGATTTCTGTGATAAATATAAGTGAGTTTCATTTTAAGTAAACTCATTTTGTGGGATTTGAGATTTAAAAAAAAATTGCACATTCTAGTCGTGGTTGGGCTCTAAGAAAATGTTGTAAAGCTGTAATTGTTTATCTTATGGGGAGAAGTGAAAAGGAACTAAAATTTATGGTGTGTCTCCTATGAACCAGGCATGATGCTGAGAGTTTAACTGTGTCGTTTTTGTCCTAAATAGCCCTGTGAAGTAGATATTATTCTAACTTTACAGGTTAGAAAATTCGAGGCACAGGGAGATGAAATATTTGCCTAAAGTGAAATGGCAAATTTAGCAATTTGGACTTGGATTCAAGTGTTTCTAACTAAAGCCCAGCTCCTTGCATCATGTCCTGGTACCTAAAAGACATGACCTAATTCATTTCAGGTGCAACGTGAATGAAAATTACATGTTATGACCCAGGCTTGTTGTCTGTGCTCCTTGTTAAATAGTTCTGTTGGATAGCTGTATGTGGTCAATACCCAAAAGCTTTTACTATCTTCACCAGGCATTACTCTAAGCACTTGACATGTATTAATTCATTTAATCCTCATAATTCCATGAGGTATGTGCTATTATCATTCCCATTTTATAGACAAAAGAAAAAAAATGAAGCACAGAGGATTTAAGTAAGTTGTTCAACTTACTTACACAGCTAGTATGTGGGGGAGGTGGGACCCAAACCCAGGTATTCTGGCGACAAGCCTAAGGTCTTAAATCTGTTTGATGCTGCCTCTCATGTAACCGGATATGTGTGACAGTTGCCTCAGAAGTATTAAAGTGAGTGTTCTTGTAGTTCAGGGAAAGCCATGTCACATCCACATGGGATGATCATTGGCATAGCGCTCTTGCTTTTTGGAGGTGAAACTTCAATTAAGCCTTGAAGTTGAATAGGTTCTCCTGGGCGGAGATACAACAGGGTATTATGGGTGGAGGGCATAACAGGAGCAAGAAGCTCAGAGTGCAAGATTGGTATTGATTTGCATATGTACCACAGACGTAAACATGTTGGGAGTCCAGGTACACAGTGTCCCCGTGTCTACCCCCAAGTTTTGACAACATTGTAATTAATCCAACTAGGGAGTTCTCTGTTCTCTGGATGTAAGAGCTTGTACCCATTGTCTGCAAACTCACCTGCAACAGGCTACATAGTAAATATTTTAGGCTTAGAACAAGCAGTCCCCAAAATTTTTAGCATGAGGGACGGGTTTTGTGGCGGGATGGGGGAGTGCTGGGGGTGGGGGAATATGGTTTTGCAATGAAATTGTTTCATAAGGAGAGTGCAACTTGCATGTGCAGTTCACAGTAGGGTTCCTGCTCCTGTGAGAATCTAATGCTGCAACACATCTGACAGGAGGTGGAGCCCAGGCGACCATGCTTGTTAGCTCCTGCTGTGCAGTCTGGTTCTAACTGGCCAAGGACCGGTACCAGGCGGTTCCCCAGGGGTTGGGGACCCCTGGCTTAGAGTAAAGGGGCAAGTGGTAAGAAGTGACCTCTGCACAGTGGGCGGGGTCCTGATTATGGAAGGACCTTGCAAGCCCTGGTTTGGATTTTCCTGTGTTATTGGCAGCAGAGGTATTCCAGGTGATTTTAAATAATGAAGTAAACCTCATAGAGTGTGGTGGTAGACTGCACCATTTACTAGCTATAAGACCTTAGGAAATTACTTAAATCAAGCTTGTCCAACCCGACTTACTTTGTTGTTGTTGTTGTCATTGTTGTCGTTCTGTTTTGATTTGTTTTAGTCTTTCAGCAGCCTGAAGCCATGCTTTTTAGCTTCTGTCTCTAGTGACAAGTGGAAAAGAGGGATGAGGAAGGGGGTTTACTGGACCAACCAGAAACAGGAACTAAGAACCCATGACTATATTCTCTCCCTTGGACACCCCTAATAAGTGATCTTTGCGTCAGTTTTCTCATAAGGAAAATGCAGATACTAATAGAACCTACCCTAGAGGGTTGTCAGTAATTTAGCAAGGTAGAATACCTAATCAAAGAATCAAAAGAAAGTACAAATTAAATTAGAAATAGTAATTTTAAACTGGTTTTGCTAAAATTTCCGTAATTACGATGAAATGATTATCCTTCTGGATAAAAATAATTCGTCAAAACAACTCAAGAAAAGGTAGGATAATTTGATTAGATCATTATCCATGGAGGAACTTAGAAAACGTCATAAAAGCTGGACCCAGAGAGGTTTTTTTGTTTAATTCAACCCTTTAGAGCACAAAAATTCTGATGTGATGTAAATTTTTTTAGAGCATAGAAAGAGATGAAAGGCTTCCCAGCTAATTTTTCAGAGCAATTTTGATACCAAGTGTTAGTAATGTATCAATACTGATTCATTAATTGGGAGAAATATGCCATCTCACTAATGTAAGATCTTAGAAATCAAACAATTTCTAAATAAAACACCAAAAAATTGACTGTTTTTCTTTACAATCAGCTGGACCCCTCACCCCCAAATTAAGAAATGTATTAATGTGTTGTATCAGTAGATCAAAAGAGGAAAGTCATTTAGTCATCTGATGCCAAGAAGCGATTTGGTACTATTTATTATCTGTCTTGGTTTTAAAACTACATGCAGGACCAGCAGGATATCACCTTAGTTTAGTTTAGAACATCTGGCTGACCCCAACAGCCCTCCTTAGTGGAAAGAAGTAGAGGAGAGTTTTCAGACTTGAATACCTATCCGTTGTTTCTACTTCTAGGAATTTATCCCATAGAACTACTTCCACAGGTGCAAGACTATTGTGCAGTCAGTGTTCTTTATAAGAGCAAAACTTTAGAAGTAACTTGAATATCTATGAATTGGGGACTGGTTTAATAAATCATAGCATATTTACGAGATAGAACACTAAGAAGTCATTACAGAAACTACAGTAAATCTAAAAGTATTGATTTGGAAAGACTTTCTACGATAGGTTACTTTTGCCTGTTTTTGAGTTTAATGTCAATTGAGTCATATACTATATTCTTTTTTGTGTCTGGCTATTTTTAAACTCAAGGTTTATGGTTGTGAGATTCGGCCTTCCTGTGTACGGCAGTAGTTGGTTTATTCTCATTGCTGTGTAGTTCTTTTGTATGAATATACAAAATTGAATTATAAATTGAATTACTCATAGCTTGTATAAGTTTTATGGTCCGAAAAACTCAAATAGTTTAAAAAGTGAAATTTGATTGAAGTTACAGCTTCAATTAGAGGTATTTTATAACTTGATACTTCCATGCAACATTAGTGTGCATTTATCTAACTAGAGTTCTCCCATCTTCTTTATCCCCTTTTGATTTCTTTCTTTTGGGCTCATGGTCATTAGTATCTCCACTATAGAATGGTCATTAGTGTCTCTACTATATAATGAAAGGGAAACAGGAAAAGAGATGAAACTTGAATCCCTTACTTGTGCCTCTCATTACTGCTCTGGCTCAGGAAGGATAAAGTGAAGTAGTTCTTTCATTAACATACACTTCCCAGTAACTGGGATGCAGACCTTCAAAGCAAATCTCTGGTACAAGATATAATCTGATACTGTTGTAGCCAATATCTTCTATTTCCATAGTTAAGTGATTCAGAGCCATAACTGAACCTTCCTAATTCTAGATTGTTTGACTTGCCTTTCACAGGCATTTATTTAGGTTTGCAATGTAATAAGGCAATCCTAACTTGAAAGCTGAAATGGTCCTTAGAGATCATCTCAGCTGATATTCAAAACCTGGTGCATGAGAAGATGGTATCTCTCATGGTCTGCCCAGCCCACATACTGGTGGGGTCTCAATCCAGAATAAACTCCTGGCTTACATTTTGGAGGCAATGCGTTCTCCTTAGTCAAGAGCCTTTTGGAGCTCCTTTACAAAAGCAGTTAGCCCTTATGGTCTCTTGTTCATTTGTTTCCAGCATTTACTCTGTAGGCTGTAAGTTACTAAGCAGTCACTTCACAGTTTGTAAATGTGTTTGATTTGATTCTTATTTCTAGTCATGGGCAATATAGCCCTTCAGTTTTAAAAGATTTATTCTAAACTGGCCATGGAAGAAATCTGGTTTTGTCACTTTTTAAAATTCAACCCAAAGTCCAATTCAATTTGAGTTAGCATTCTGAGAGCATATCCATATTACTAAGATAGTAAATATATGAAGTAACTTTTTCATTGCTTTTCAGGAGTAGAGGTTTGCCACTCTTGTGACTAAGCAGTATCGCAAAAATGATGTCTAGCAGCTCCAGTGAAATTGATGTGGTTTGTATTCAAATTGAAGATCTGTCTTTATTCTTTTTTATTCTTTTTGTTGTGCCATACTTCTATTCTAAATTTAATTTTATACAGTAAAATGCATAGATAATTGAATTTTTGTTAAATGTTTTGGCAGTAATATATAAAGCTCTTGTGACAATTTGTGTTCAAGTTTCTTTATGAATACACACTTAAATTTCTTTTGGGTAAACAGAAGTTGAATTACTAGGTTATGGAGTTCACGTAAATTTAACTCTGTGAGAATTTGCTGAACAGTTTTTGAAAGTAGTTGTGCTGTTTTTACATTTCTGTTATATTCTTCTATATTTCTTAATCCTTCAAGTTGAATCAGTATATAGATTATTAAACTGTATATAATTTGACTTAGCGGAAAACACCTTTTTTTTTTTAGTTATATAAGGACATAGATAGTAATGCCACCTAAGTAGTCTAGGCAATTCTCTTAAAAACTATCAGTTCTACTGTTTTTTAAAAATCTTTGAAGATAATGTTAACTGCCTACCAAGAGTCATTTTTCTCTGACATAACTATGTAAAAGCACTTCGAAAAGCATGAGGCACTATACAAGAGTAGGATAGTATATTTTTTAAAATACTAAACTGTAACCTGATTCCATATTTTTTTGTAATTTCTATCATGTATTTTCAAACAAAAACATACATAGCTACCAAGTATGTTTATTTTAAAATTATTCCTATAGTTCATAATTCATTCTTAGAATGAAGAGTTATTATATTGAAGTGTAATGGTTATTCACTACTTATTTATATTCTATCTTATTTTTAAAAGTTTTAAGGTACTTTAGAGATTAATTTATCAAGAAAAATAGGTGCTCAGATGTTTTCTATCTTGTCCACAGAGGGGCACTGTTGGATTATTTAGAAATCGAAAACCATATAGCATTTATTTTTTTGTTCATGGTTAAAAATACTTGCTTTTAAAGTACTTCTGGTGCTAAAGGACTAGTCTTTCTACCATGAAGTGTATAAAGGGTTAAGCTTAGTGAAAACTGTTATCTTAGGTATTGTTGGGTTAATGAGAACACAGTTCCGCAAACACATCTTTTTGTAGTCATAGTATTTACAATGAGCAAAGTTCCTTTGCTATCACAAATAGCCCTTTGTAAAAGCTTCTTGAAAGTGAAATTAAACCCTCAACTTTTCTTTTAGTTCTCTTTCATCTTTCCTTTTAATTTGTTGATAAATCTTCCTCAGATAAAAACAAGAATACATACCTATGATGATGATGATGACAACACTGTTCTTTATGCATATGAAACAAAACCTGAATTTGCATATGCAACAAAAACTGGGGTAAGTAGCGTTAATTCCTAATTGCCAAATATATTAACACTTGCTGTTTTAAAGAAAAAGATTTAAATTCCTCATATACTATGGAGTTCCCATAAACTCACAATCAAGAAAATATCTCTCCCCTGAATTTAAATGCTTTCTTTCATCAGAGAATGAGCACTTAACCATTTTACTTTCCCCTTTTTCTTATATAGTAGAAAATTTCAGTACAAAGCTCTAAACCTGGGTTCTTCCGATATAATAAATTCTTTTATTGACTCCTTCCTCAATTGTCAGTTATCATTTTCATTCTCATATTAATGGGAATTTCTTAAATCTCCACTTTAGATTTAAGACTTCTGAAACGCATTAAAAAGTTGGTTATAAATAAAAACAATTTAAATAAATAAATATAGTTCCCCTAGCCCCTGGTGTTCAGTTTGACTGTTACAGAAATAAAGCATTAACCACTTTAAAACTACTAGCCGGAACCGATTCTTGTAGCTGATGCATCCTGTAATACTGAAGAGCAATCAAAGCCAGTTGATGATGTCCTTACCTCTTGCCAGGTATGGAAGTTCTGTCTCTTCAATGTGGTTTTCTAAAATGTTAAGGAAAAATTCTCCTTATCTCACATAAAAGGAAAGTGTACAATTAATTGAAATTTTGCCTATCAAATTATTTATGATTATCACTCCATTGTGATTATTTTTAAAAAACAATTTCTGGTTAGAGCCGCATTTCCTGGTGACATTTTTGAAATAGCAACATGTAGATTTTGTAGCTTTTTAAAAAGCTCATTACCAACAAAATGTAGTTAAGTCTCTTTCATCTGGATTGCTCAGTATTGAATTAGTTTCCCCACAAAAATCCTTAAAGGAAATTGACTGATTTGGATGAACTTTAGTATGTGCCTAAATGCACATCAAGATATTTCAGTGGAAACAAAATGGTGGCAGCCCATCAAGGTTTATAAAGAAGCATACCTAAGGTAGTTTTGAGGGGAGTTTTAAGAATCACCATGTTGGTAGAGATGTGATTACTGGGAATTTGTCAGTTGAGTACCCCAGAGGTAATAAAGGTTTATTTTAAAAAATGTTTCTTACCATATATAAGGTTTCTTGAATGGAATAAGCTAACATGCTTTGGAAACTAAAATTGCTTGGATGTTTATCATGATCATGAGTAAGAACAGAACTGGAGTGCTTCCAAGAGACACATAGAGTCTTGTGGGGAAGTGGGTGCAGAGGCTAGCTGGGGAGGGAGGGAGCGGGTTATCCCCAGCCTGCCTCCCCCTGCACTGCTAGGTTAGAGTCCCCTTCAGCAAGCCTGCATACTGAGGTGGGAGATAGCATAGCATCTGTTGGGGGAGGTGCCCAGGGCCATGGTCAGCCTGAAATGGCCCCAAGGGCCCTTCTCCATTCCTCCCAAGGGACTGGCTCTTTCTTCACCTATCCATTCTAGATCACAGGGGTATTGCTGCAGCCTGCCTTGTTCTTTCATTCCAGTTCCCTCTTGAGTCCACCTCCCTCCTGCTTATGCTGGGAGCAGAGGAGGACGCCCTCCGCTGGCGGTCCCCTGCCTACCTCAGTCCTGTAGTCCTGCCTCTTCACTCCTGGAGACAGTGGAGCACCTGGGGCAGTCCTCCCAAGTCCTCATATCTGTCCCCGTAGTCAACCCTGCCCCCATCCTCACCCTTCTGACCCCTTCACGACCAATTTAGTGACCAGGGTTGGCACCCTCACTGCTTTATGCCTCTGGTACCCTCCCTGAACTCAGAGCTGCCCCTTCATCGGGCATCCCTCTCTCTCCTCTGGCTCCAATCCCATTCCCTCCTTCCCCTCTACAAGTTCTCCCACAGCTTGGAGAAGCCACTTTTCTTGCCTCCGATCCCTCCTTTCCTGTCATCCTCACTTTCTCCTTACCATGACAGCCCCATTCCTGGAACGTCATTGATACTTGCTGTCTCCACACCTGGCTTCCTGTTTTTCTCTGTGGGTATTTTTGAACCTGCTGTTCCTTCTGCCCTGTAAGCCCTTACATGCATCCTCACCTGGTGAGCGCCTTCTCATGTTTTAATTCTCACCTCAGACCTCGCCTCATCTGAAAAGCTCTCCATGACTGCCAGCCTGGGTTAGGCCCGCTCTTCTCTGCACGCTTAGCCTCCTGTTCCTGCCTGTGTCCCAGTGCTGGTAATAACATTAGTAACACTAGTAACTAATAACACTGAGCACTGTTGAACTGGGCATAGTGTAGTGTTGTTTCTGTTAGCATTACCGTAATGCTATAGCAAGGTTCTCATACTCAAGAGAACCCTGAGAGAGATTTTCATCCCGATTCCCTACATGAGGACATTGAAGCACAGAGAGGTTAAGTAACCTGCCCGGGGTCACACAGCCAACAAATGGCTGGACTCTACTATTTGATCCCAACCATGTTCCCCTAGAGCCTGCACTGTACCTCAGTGTCACAGCCCAGTGGTTCTCACCGGGGACATCAGAATCACCTGGGGAATTGTGAAAACATAGACCACTGCCCCTACTCACAGAGTTCCCAGTTCCATAGTTCTGGGGTACAACCTGGAATTTGGTATTTCTAATGAGCTTGCAGGTGATGTTGATGCCACCGTTCCGTGGACCACACTTTGCAAAACCACTGTTCCAGTCTATTAATCACTTTGTCTATTGGAATCCTCTTTTCATTTTCTCCCCCCGCTGAGATGGCAGTTCCTCTAGGACAGGAGCTTTGCTTTTTTTTTTTTTTTTTTTTTAAATAGGATAGGGTTTCACTCCATTGTCCTAGCTAGAGTGCAGTGGCACAGTCGCGGCTCACTGCAGCCTCAACTTTACAGGCTCAGGTGATTCTCCCACCTCAGCCTCCCTAATATCAGGGACTACAGGCATACACTGCCACACTTGGCTAATTTTTTGTATTTTTGGTAGAGACGGGGGTTTTGCCATGTTGCCTAGGCTGGTCTCTAACTCTTGTATTTTTGGTAGAGATGGGGGTTTTGCCATGTTGCCTAGGCTGGTCTCTAACTCTTGAGCTCAAGCGATCCACCTGCCTCAGCCTCCCAAACTGCTGGGATTACACCTGATCAGCAGCCTTTTTTCAGTCCATGTTCTCAACACCTAGCAAAGTAGTTTTGCCAGGTGGTAGGCTGTAAATAAAGGTTTAGTTTAATTAATGAATGAATTAATGAGGAAATGTTTCTGGCCCTTTGTTAAGTGTATTTTTCTTTACCCAAAGTTTCTGCGTATTTCAGGAATTCTCAGATTTTTATCAGTCTCCTATGTGCTTAGTTGGCATATAAATCTCATGTGTACTCCATGATTTTGTAAGGTTAATTGCTGACTGCATTATTTAAAAGTACTTTGAAGCCAAAAGTCACATCTGTTACATTTGGTTCAATGTTCTTTCTGGAGTGGAATGCTTGCAGTCTATAATATAGACTTCATATTTGTAGATATATGAACATATATGTTACATATGAACATTATAAAGTGAGTCTTTGTTCTTTTAGCAGATTTGAGCATTTCTTTCCTAAAACAGCACCTTCCTTGATGTGTAGTGTCTCCATCATCAGTGTGCTAGTGTAGAGGCATTGTGGCACATTCATTCGCCACCATTAGAGCTTCCTCAGTGCCTACATGGGGTAGAGCAGGGGAAGAGACATTGGAGCTCCCGAACTCAGCCTACTGGCTCTGTGTCACCAACAGCCAGGCCTTGAATAGAAGCAAGACATTTCTGATGGCTTGAGAACTTTTGCTGTGTCTAGTAGTTAACATTTGACTTAATGGTATTTTCATGTTACTTTTCTTTGAAATAGAAACTACATTATATTATACACTGTATGCCTATTATATAACTACATTGTATTGTAATAGGTTATATATGATGCTATCCAAAACCTGGATAAGAAGATTGATATCATTAATAGAAAGGTTTCAAAAATCCAACGTTTCAATGCAAAAGCAGTGTGGACCAATCGTGTAAGTGTTATAAAAAACATTTTTACAACTATGATAAACCTCTGGTTTGTAAAGATGCCAATCAGCTAGAAGTGAGAGAGTACCAGTAACTGTGTGAGATTAGCAAGGCATGTCTATACTTGTAGCAGTAGATGGAGATTGACTCTGTTGGGAGAATGCTGAAGTTTAGGTTTGATAACTTATGACACTGCGTATTTTTATGTTTGTAACTATCGTGTAAAATACAATTAAAATGTAGAATTGAAGAAGAATTAATATACTCAAAAGAGAACATTTATTTTTAATAATGTAAAGCAATGTTGCATGGAAAATAAGTATTAACGTATTTGCTACTCATTTTATTACTTTTTTACTTACTGTTGGTTTATGCTGCATTTGTGTGATTTCAGAAGCCTTTTGGCTTTGGATATGGATATGCATACAGAAATTATTCTTACCTGCTTGCTAAAAAGCTTAAACTCCAGAAGATGAAGAAAAGTCAGGCTTACGAGACATTCTCCTACCCTCAAAGTTATAGTCCCACTTCACCAGTGTCAGTGCGGGAGGATAATTCCCAGAGCGATAATCCAGCACCATCCTTTCGCATGGAAGAATACCAGCGAGCTGAGCCAGAGGAAGACCCAGTTCTCAGCCGCACCCCGAGTCCAGTGCGTCCCTCAGACCACCCTGAGCATGATTATCAACCGTATTATACATCTGATGGTGTAATGCCTAGCTCTTCAGGGGCCTACCTTGGCAGCCCTAGGGCTAACAGCGTCCGTAGCAACTACTCGCCCGACCACCCTTCTGTAGTACCACATTCAGGTATGCTGGCCCAGGGAGAGCCCAGTTCGGTACATGCCCCTGAGATGATGAGTTACTCAGCTTTGGTGTAGAATAGGCACATTGTGTCATCTCTCTGCTTCCGTTCTGGTTTTGGTGAGTTTGAAATGCCACATCTAGAAGTAGCACTATTTGACCTGCATTTATCAACATCTGTGATGTAAACTAGTAGAAGCTGCTCATTTCCTATTTTGAAGGCTGGTTTTAGGTTATAGTCAGAATGGTGACTAACATTTATTGAGTGTCTATTATGTGCAAGGCACTGTGCCAATCAACTGACACCCCTCTTCCCCACTTATAATAACACCATGGTGTTGGCACATTTATTATCCCGTCCCCAAGGTCACAGAGCTGGTGAGTAGCACTTCTAGAGCTCTGCCTCATTGTGATTTTTAAAATCTTCTATTTTTTCTTTACTCTTTCCCTAGATAAATAAAAAACACTCCTGAGATGGCAAGAGTACCCAGATGATAGGGAAGAAAGGGTATGCTTTTGTCTAATTCACACACACACACACACACACACACACACACACAGATCAAATTGTGTTGGTCTTGCTTGGAGAAACGAATTTTCCTAACTAATTATGAAACCCACTTTAGTCATCACACACTAATTTTAGGGAATCTAACACTCTGGGTGAGTAAAAGAATACTTAGCAGTACACAAAGAAATTTCAACACAGCTTAGTATAGAGTGTAGCTAAAACTTTCTGAAGTATGGGCACTTAAATTTTATCTCATATCTCAGTTATTTCTTTTTTTAACATATAAACCTTTGACCAAAATCTCTTATTACTATGCAATTAAACATGAAAGAGGAATTAAATAAAATGTTAAAGTTACTTCTGGCCTAGTTTAGCAGAAAGCAATCTTGTCTTCTTCAAAATGTACATTAGCACTTAGGCCATCAGAAACAGGAATCTAAAGAGTAAAGTGATACTAAAAATAACCTTATTGAATACATGGTGAAGATTTGATAAAAGGACTAATTTGATTCTTAAAGATAATGGGGTTGTTATTGAGATTTATTTATTAGAAGAAACAAATTTAAGCAATTATAAAACTGTAAATTTGGGGAATTTCCATTATATTTAGCTAGTAAAATCAACCTAATCTAGATAGACCAAGAGAGGGATTAACAGAGAAATTCCTTGAAATACTTGAAGTAAGAGAGTCATACGTTAGGCTAGATTAGCCTAATTTTACCCAAGTGACAGATCTTTTGCCATATTTGCCTGTGGCCAAAGAAGACGTAGTTTGCTTAACCTGTGTTGTGATCTTTGAAACTTTAAGGTAACTTCTGAACCTGTTTTTGCTGTCCGGGAATGTCAGATGGGAAGCTCTTGTGTAGGCATCCTCACATCATCTTTATATAGACTTTCACTAGATTTTACAGTCGGAGTCTTGATTCCTTGCTAGGAACGTCACAGAAGGTTTCAACAAAGACACCATTCCTCCTTTCCTAACATCTCTTCTTTCAGGATAATAGGTCAAGTGTGATTTATCTTTTTTTTTTTCCCCTCTCCATTGAAGTTGCAAGCTCACCAATTGGAAATGACCAGTATTTAGACGAGTCAAACTTCACTAGGCACCCTGCGACATGGTCGGTGGAAGCAGTGGTCCTATTTCTGAAGCAAACGGATCCTCAGACATTATGCCCTCTTGTTGACCTCTTCAGAAGCCATGTAATGTATCTTTTGATCCTGTTTTCTTGCTGTAATGTCTTTGAATGACCTCTGTGCAGGCCTTTCAGCTGAATACTTTGTGAATAGTGGGTGAACCCTATCAACTGATTTTTCCATATGTCAGAAAGGTTATTTTGCCCAAGGTTAGCCTTAAATGGTAGGCTAATAGTCTGTTCTTTAAATGAGTATCGAAGTGCCTAAACTACAAACTGCCTCAACTTCTCAAGACATGATGATGCAGCATGGCCACTCAGGTTTACCTCCCCTTGGTAAGGACAGATACAATGATCCTCCCCCATCTGCTCCCACCTGGGCACCAGGACCACAAGGAAGAGGGGTTAACCACAAGCTATAATAGAGTAGCCTTCTTTTTATATAACCAGTGATTCAATAACAGATTCTATTTGCCTCATTATTGATGATTTGTGATGCTAATACCCTCTTGCTATTACCAGATCATTTACAAAGTAATATCCTAGGCCGAAGTTTTATAAGATCCAGTTTCTTTAATTTCGAATTTTGCTTAGTAGAAAAAATACAGAAGGTGCCAAAGATCGTACTATAAGGGATTTCAAGTCTTTTCAGATAGTGTTAAATGAGTAAGATTTTATTTTTAAACTGGAAGATATAAAACCAAATCATATGCTTCAGCAGCTCAAGTTGATTAAGATAAGGAATTTTAAAAGGATGCTTTGTGACTATGAAGAAATATTTTCACAGTGTATCCTAACACATAAAATTAGTAGCCACATATCTGACTTTCAGTATAGTAAGAAAGTTGGTGATTAGTTTTAGCATCTAATTAGTTTCAGACAACTAATTCACGTTCATCATAAAGACAACATTGTGTAGACGTTTATAGTTTGCACTGATGTTGACATACTTACCTTCCCAGCCCTTCTCAGAAAGTTAATGAACATCTGAAATTCATTTTTGCTATTCATAATCTTTACTATTTTGTCATGGATGTGTAGTATTTTATTCAACATACACTATGTATTTAAAGTTAAGTTTGACACAGTTTATTTTTTTAAGATATTAGGTTAAATTTCCTTTTTCTTAGAACTTGAAGTGAGTTTATACTTTACTAAGTGGTTTCTCACTGTATAAGTTATGTTAATAGTTTTGATAAAGCAGATGCATATTCAGAGAGTATACATCTGCAATGAACTGTTCTCTAGTTTGCTTTACATGTTCTCATAAAGAACTAACTGCTCTGATGAAAAAATGGAAGTATTACTAATTATTAAGTTTCTTCTCTCCACAGGAAATTGATGGGAAGGCTCTGCTCCTACTCACGAGTGACGTGATGCTGAAGTACTTGGGGCTGAAGCTGGGAACTGCCATGAAGCTATGCTACTACATTGAACGACTTAAACAAGGAAAATGCTTTGAAAATTAAAAAAAAAATCCTTGTGCAAATTTAGATTGGGCCAACTTCCAGACATACCAATGCCTTAGTGTAGAATCATTTTTCTGCCCTTTAGTCATTTTTGTTTTTTAGAAAGTATCTCTCAAAATATAGCTAGAATTGTAGAACTATGTTATAGTCCAGTCTACTTCTTTCAAAACCATTTAACTGCTAGATAGTATTAGAATAGTCCAATAGGAAATTCATTCTTTATAGATCTTTAAAAATTACTCTTATTATATTGTTTACAAATACATTTCATGCAAGAAATGGAAAATAAACCCCTTTGATTCTGCTTCATCTTTATACAGAGAACTAAAACAGCTAAGAGAGTTATCAGGGGTTGACAACTTCTATGATTAAATCTATGGGAATTTTTCCTCAGAAGAGAATTTAAAGGTGTACCCATAGATAATCTCTTTCTGAAGTATTTTGTCTGTCTAATGCTGCAGTGTTCTATCAGTTTCCAGAAAGAGAATAGCCATATAAGTTATTTTCTTTTCTGCTATTATTTCTCTACATGTTTTATTCAGATTTAGAGAAAAAATAAGCTTACAAACTTTTATCAAGTGCTCTTAACAGTTTTTAGGTAAACTATAGGATAGATAGAATGGTTATTTTATGCAAGAAATATACTACAAGGGTCATTTATCAGTGAAGTCTGACTACTTTTTTTCCAAAAAACTATTCTACTAAAACTCATATTTTGGCTAAGTTTGGACATTTAACTACACTTTCATTGTTTGCACCTCTCTATAAAGATACCTCTGTCTAAACTTTTAAGAGATATAATTTTATTTTATGTGTTTATTCTTTATATAGATAGTATTTTATATTTTATTCTAACCCGAAGTATACACACAAGTAATTTTTTTTAATTTAAAATGGCATTTTGTATTCCCCCAGAGCCATATATTAGTGAGATGTTTTATTTTGTGAGATCTAAGTGGATTATTTGCCATCACTAGTACCTCTCAACTTACTTTTCAGAGGACAAGAAACAATCTATGGATTGGTTTCCATACAGGGAAGTTCTCTGTCCTATGCAATATTTCTAATTTGCTTAGTTCTGAGCCATTTATCCTGCTACACTTTGAATGATGCATTAATTCAGACTAATGTTTGGGGGCTTTATTTTGTAAGTTAGAACCTTCAGGTGAAACATGTTCAACGCTATTATTTCATTATAAATTTATAACATGTTATTACATTGTATAACAAATATAAGGTTTATAAGCTATGAGAATTGGTGCTGTCACCATTAGCCACTTATAAATGTGAAGAAAATGTTCACCAGGGGCAATAATGTACCTTTTCTTGTTAGAAAACCAAATGTACTTTAGACATGACTGCAACTATTTACAGAATAGCTTCATCTATGTTATTCCTTATATGTCATAAGATTCTTACTTAAACTTGGTCTTCTTTCAAATTGTATGAAGATGCTGTACCCACTTGAACAGTCCTTAGGTGTTTACATAAATACTATGTTTTGCAGTTTTCATATTTAAAAAAATAAAGTTAAATCTCAATGATTCATTTAAAGCCTTAGATCTGATTTTATTTATCATCACTGCATTATATTAATGTGTGAATTTGTTGGAACTGAAACAGCCACTCTAGTAAGCTTGTGGCTTTCCTTGTCTAAATAGTTGAGTTTTAAAACCTGCCCAGATTCTACCTGTAAACAGATGCCTAAGAGCCAAGGGCTGATTTCTTACAGGGGTCTCCAATGAGACCCCAGGGGTGTTGTAATAAGTTCAGTTGATGAGCTGTATCTGTGGTCAAAGCCTTTATTACGATATCATCAGTGATGCGAGTGTGCTAGAAAATGCCAGTGCCCCGAGATGTCTCATCCCATCTGAGTCTGTACGCCTGGCTGGCAACTCTGGCTGCTCTTTTACCACTGGGGGCCAGAAGCTGCCTCCTGGGTGCACCTGCTCTTGGCCCTCTGCCTCCAGATGGCCCAGCTGTCCCAGCAGGATGCCCTTGGAGGACTGGGGTTCCAGTTGGGTAGCCTCACTTATCCAACCCCTGTCCCCTTCTCCAGGAGCTTCGGCTCCAGCTGAGGAACCCAGAAACCCTCACTGCTCTTGCTCCCCAGCATCGTGTCCTGTGATTCACTGGAGACAATGGGGTCCTGACCGAGGCTCCAGGGCTGATGCTCAGTGGCTGGAACGGGGGTGTTGATTTGAGTGACCTGAGACTTGAGTGATTTGGGGCCCCTTTTTCTCTCCTATCTGGCTTACAAATTTTTAGTCCAGAGACTAATAAGCCGTATTACCCTTCCTGTGAGTTTTAACTGATCTTCCTCTGGCTTTGCCTCTCATTTCATCCTTTTCTGCTCTGTAGCCCACAGAATTCTGCACCTGGAGCTCCAAGACCTTCCAGGCACACCTAGAATTTGCTTTGGCCTTTCGTCTATGATTTCCCATCGTTGAAATGTCTTACCGTACATGTTCTAGAGTGGGATTTCCCAAACTTTTAAACCAAGGCCTCCCTCTGTAGGCATAGAAACACCATGCCCTTCTGTAATACTCAAAAGTAAATACTGCCGAGTAGTGACAGTATAATTGGGAGGAAAAGCACTGCTTTTTCAAGCTGCAGGAGGCATTGTCCTTGCAGTTGACTGAGTAAATGAAGTAGGTTAAAATTTCTGGGGCTATGGCTTGATGCTGGGGCTTGCTCACGAAGTGCCCTGAGGCTGATCCAGGCAACGTGGGAAAGCTCTAGGTTTGAGAGGACGTGCAAGTGAGAGCCCACCATTGAAATATGTGAACAGTCCTTCCTCTCTCTTGGTTGTTTGCCCTATTTTGTCAGCAGATTGATGCAACTGAACCTTGAGAGCCACACTCCATAGTTAGCATGTGCTCAAGTTGAGCTTGGTCACTCCCCCTGCTCTAATTGAGGCAACTCTACTGTTATGGGATCATCTTTCTGGCTTTAGGGATGGTATCAGCATTGAGGGGAGATCTTTAAGAAATAGGGGACCTAGCTCCTCCCCTCAAACTGCCTAGAACATAACAGATAAACCAGCATTCATGAAAAGGAGAACATCAGGGCACTTATGACAGTACATATGAGTCAGCACCAAGTGCCCGTAAGTGATGTGTCCTTATGCAACAGTAATGGTGTGTCCTGTTCTTCTGCCATAGAACCAAAGCACTTAAGCACATTCATTTCTAGAAATAATCCCTCAGGGACAACAGGGCAGCCAGGGTAGGGTTTTGGCCTTGCCAAGCCCTGCTACTTCCTTGGCCTCACTCCTCTACCTGGCTTTGGCTGGCCTCGGAGGCTCAAGTGCACTGATGTCAGGGGTGGGGTGGTTGCACATATTCCATGGGGGCAGAAGTCAGTCCATTGGTGTGGGATGCATATCTTACACCTTCCTTTAATATTCACATAAGAAGAGAGAGATTAAGCTTTTCTGCAGTTAACATACAGATTCACTGATGTGTTCTAAAGTGCTGGACATTGTTGGTACTTGCCACCATCCCAGCCCTTCTTGGTTCCTCCCTGTCCTTAGAGACATAAAGCCTGGACACAACACTTGCTACACTCCTTTGCTGATGGACATGGGTTCTTAGATTCTGCCCCAACAGACCATGTGCCCTGATTTGGGGAAGAGGGAGGTGAATAGAAGCTGCTTCCTTCTGCTGGTTGCACGGGACAGACTTTTGAGCATCAGCAGGAGGCACAGATGTGGGGTTTGCCAGCAGCCTCCAGATACCATCTTGAGACTCACCTTCTTCAGTCGTGCAGGCAGCTGAGACCACTGAGGGGCAGAGGAGCTTCTCTATGACTCTTGCACTCCTGGATTTCTAGAAACTTCCTCCCTAACTTTAGGCCCTACCTTCTGGCAGCCATATAAGCTTCTGATTCTGTATTAAATCACTTCCATTCTGAAGATTCAGAATAGCTCATATGTTTCTGGCCAGACTTGGACTTGTCCACCTTCTTCAGGATATCTATCCTGTAGAGGTGGCCGGCCGTTCAGAAAGAAGAGTAAAACTTCCATAGAAGGAGTGCTTTATATTATCTAGTTTAAATAAATAGTATATTTCATCAATCTAAGACCTCTTTGATTGTAAGATGCACCACTGTTAAATAAATGGTAAAGAAAAATGCCACCTATTAAACTATTACTCACCATTGATTATAATATGGAAACTGATTTCATAGCTATTAACGTGAAAAGATGGGTGGCTTAAGACATATAAAATGTTAGCTCATAAAAGCTGAACATGTGGTTTTAAAAGCTTAATGCAAAGAAACTGCACTAACTGAATTGAAGACTAATAATGGAAACCCAAGGGAATGGCAAGAAAATGGTAGAGCTAGTCTGAGCTTTGCAACAACCCTAGTACAATTTAAAACAAAAGCAATCTAATCAGATCTGCCCCAAATTTACAATTATCAAGGAGACTTTGAAATGTTAAATTGTATCCATTGTCGTAAGCAAAAAGCCTTACCACAAATGTGTATTTTGCCTTTAGGTATTAGCTAGTACTAGGATGAAACCATCATATTTAGCAAGGCATTTAACAATTTCCTTGCCTCCAGCCAAGGAAAAAAAGGGGAACTTGGAATGATTATAGATTAAGAGACTTTTAAGCGTCATGTCACCCAAATGCAATGCACAGACGACATTGTTTAGATTAAAAGAAAACAGGAAAAACGCATACATGAGACAATCCGGGGGAAGGTGAATACCCAGTGGATATTAGATGACATTGAAGAGTTGCTATTCGTTTCTAATAATGGTGCTAATTGGTATTATAAGATGGTGCCCCTACCTTTGGAAATAAGTATCTTATAAAAAGTTTACAGATTAAATGAGATGATATCTGGGATTGCTTTGAAATGATTCAATGGGGAAGGAGATGCAGATGAAACAGGGTTGGCCTTATGTTGGTATTTATTGTAGCCAGTAACATATACATGGGAATCCATTATACAAATCTCTCCAGTATCATGTATGTTTGAAATTTTTCACAATAAAAAGTATGCAGAATATGAAGACAAATTTCTCTACACTTGTCAGACTCCAGAGATGTTTGAAGTCAAGCAACATTCAATATACAGAGGATTTCAGTAGAGTAATGATCAGTATTTAGACTTCTTGCTTGAAGTTTCTTAATATTAGCCAAAGACAGCTGAGCCACCTACAACCAAGAAGCACCTGTTCTTCCTTTTGTGGCTGAAAAGAAAACAAGGTTGAAGTAATAGATGAAAAACAATACAGTGCAAAGGGTCAACTCATTCCTTTGTCAGCAAATAATTGAGAGGTGTGTAGAAAACAGGAAGACTCGAACACACAAAAACAGATAAATGGCAGGGTGACAGGTCTGCCGTTCTGTTGAATGAAATGATGTGTTTCTGAAACTTTTCAGTGTAGGGTGGAATCTGATGCTGCTTTCCTGGAGGAAGCGATGGTCAGAAAAGGAAGACCCTCATCCTTTCCCCCATGCTCCTCCACACTCTGCCGTCTCCAAAGGGGCCTCTACCTCTAGGACATTCTGGAGAATTCCTCCAAGTACAAGGCCTGGTTGTTTCAAAGTTCTTAGCACTCTCCCAGTTGGTTATTCCAATTATTACCTCTCTAATTACGTTTGCTTTTCAGACAAAAGAATTCAGTTCCTTTTTCATTCTTTTTCCCCCCTATACAGTTCTCTTTCATACACCTGAAGAAGCCCCTCATGACTCATATTTGCCAATATATACCATTCTCCATGTTGGGAAGTCTTTCTCCCGGAAGAGTCCACCTAGGTCAACAATGTCACAACAGTGGGTTTCCAAAGAACATAAAATCCCTGTTTTTGGCCAAGTGCAGTGGCTCATTCCTGTAATCACATCACTTTGGGAGGCCAACATGGACAGATCACTTGAGGCCAGGAGTTTGAAACCAGCCCGGCCAACATGGTGAAACTTTGTCTACTAAAGATACAAAAATTAGCCAGGCGTGGTGGTGGGCACCTCTAGTCCCAGCTACTCAGGAGGCTGAGTCAGGACAGTCACTTGAACCTGGGAGGCAGAGGTTGTAGAGAGCTGAGATCACGCCATTGCACTCCAGCTTACTTGCTCACAATCGGAAGTAGATGTTCTTCTGTTGAATGGCAATTTGGGGACCCAGGCTCCTTCCATCTGTGGCTCCACTATCCCTAGGGCCTTGGGTCCTTGGACATTTGGTGGCAGAGCACACATCACTTCTGTTCCCATTCCATGGCTGGACCTCAGTCACATGGCCACACCTCACTGTAATAGTGACCAGGAAAAGTCTATGTACCCAGGAAGTTGAGGAAATGGGTCTTTGGTAACTAGCCAGCAGTTTCCACTATACATCATGATCCTAACATTAGAATGTCACCTGTTCATCCCTCCTATAAGCTTGTCGGTTTCTCTGTGGCACCTCTCTACCCACATGGCACTCAAACACCTGGCTCCCCTTAGCCTCTTTCCCTGCTATATTGTCTTTACATCACTTAAACTTATGGCTGCTTAGATTATTGTTCCCAGCAATTAACTTTTCCCTACAAAGA